ACACACACAAACGAACAATAGGTAGAACATGATAAGTCTGGTACATGTAGACCCCTTTGGATAGGAAGGGTGAGACGAGGTAGTAGAGTAGATTTCTTAGTGATTGGGCAGGGAAAGCTACAGTCCACAAGACAATAGAACAGGTAGAATACGGTATCCGTCAAGGTGTGGCCTCTTCTCTTCCTATGCTTGGTGAATGGAATGATGCTTGTATTTCTCACGAATTGTTCTAATTAATAAGACTTCTACGTTTGAAGGAAGTGAATGCTATGAGATTTTGTCTTGACTTCGCTCTGAATTGTCCGACTCGTGCTTGAGTTTGAAGAGGTAAACAGGAACTTGTAATGGGTTAAAACTTAAAAATCACTTGTGCCTGACCCGCTCAGAGCATAGTCGTGCTAGTACATTCTTTTTTTTTTCTTTTTTTTTGAAAAAAGGAAGTCACCCTGCTAGGGGGGATCACGGCATCATACTGTAATTTTGCTCAGATAAATGATGAGATTACACGTGCAGGAGCAGCTACTAGGTAAACGGGATCTCAGCCATTTAGTAGCTTTGCAGCAGCTGACTCAATGCCATGCAAACGCAAAACGATTCAGGATTACTCGCCCACTGGGACGGAATGGAGTAGGAGATTATACTGCTCCGTAAGGTTTTCTTTTTTTTTTTTTTTTTTTTTTTTTTGAAAACCGGGCGGTGCTAGAGGTGCTGGAATGAGCAGACACCGCTAGCACCCCCAAGACGGCTCCATCTATTGGTGGGAAGCAACACCTGCTGGAAACCGGGTCCAGCATCCCTTACATTGTGGTAAAAAGAGATGAGCTGTGAGATAGCTGCCATGACTCCTGTGCTGAGGACCTGGATCCAGCATCCCATTATTCTACTTTGACTACCAGAACCCTCGGTCAGGGTCCAAAACTTCTCTTTTCCACTTAAATTTCCATTAGTACCTGTGGGACTCGACCCTACTAAAGGATCGAAGAGGAGGCGCTAACGCAAAAGACTAGTTCTGAATCTTAATTGTGTGCGGAATATGGCCTTGTGACATTAACAGGGAGAGCCATTTGGAATGAAAGGTGTGCGTACGGTCGGGAGGAGAGGAGAGAGGTCATTGGAAATGGGTCGATCTTCCTGCAGATTTTCTGAGACCTGGAAGCGAATGTGGTTAGAGATAAAGAATGCAGTCTTCCGTATCTACTGTCAGCGGAGGTCTTGCATGCCATGCACGATGACAGAAAATCACCAGATCATAGTTTTCGAATTCTTTTCCTGGTGCCTTGGGAACTTGGAAGGAGGTGAAGACTAGGTTCAATCTCATCTCTTTCTTTCAGTAAAGTTAAAATAGACTGGGACGCTGGACTCTGTTTCCATCATAGTCGAACCTGGGTATTGGCCTCAGGCCCTCAGAACTTTTGGGGTCAAATTGTGAGGATCCGGACCTCAACCGAGGAAAAGGCTGTGACATCAAGGAAGAAAATGACATTTTACTATTTATAAAAAATAAAAAAAATAATAAAAAAAAAAAAACGAAAAAGAAACAACGAAAACTACCAGGTTGTGTAGTCTGTGTAATGAACCCAGACTGACAGATACTCAGAAGTCGTCGAACATCAGTAGTTTCATTGTCTGCCTCAAAGTCTCCAAAATGATGAAATGAAACTACAAACAGTATCTCATTACCATTCAAAAGAAGAGCATGGAGGGGGAATAGACAAAGGAGAGGAAGAGAGATCACACAGTAATAATCCCTTCAGACCCCTCTCCTTCTCTGGGCTTCTTCCCTCTCCACATTAACAATGATAATAAGTATATTCCTGTTCGCACACAATAGTGCCACGTGGCACATTAACTCGTGAAGACCATGAAGACATAGCAGATTCCGGTGACGACTTCGACCTCAGGTGAGTGCCCGACCTCCTTCATCCACAGATCCCGATCTTCCTCCTCCACGCAACCAGTCACCTCATGTAGTCATTGTGGTCAGTGCCATGTCAGCAGTCGAGATAGGTGGCATATGCCACATCATCAATGAAGACCTGTGGCAGCGCCACTTCAGCATACCAAGGCAGTGCCACATATACAAGAGGGAGTGCCACATCAGCATGCAATGTAGACCAGAGGTAGCGCCACGTCAGCATGCAATGTAGACCATGGGCAGCACCACATCAGTATGCAATGTAGACCATAGGCAGCGCCACATCAGCATGCCATGTAGACCATAGGCAGCGCCACATCAGCATGCCTCAGCAAGTCTGGCGCATATTGCAGAAATGCGCGCCTGCTGCCTCCACCTCGTGCCGTCGTCCGCAACGCCCGAGCACAGCCAGCGTGTAACCAGCGTCGCGCCAGCATGAAGCCAGCGTCTGGTCAAAGTTGAGCCAGCGTCAAAGTAGCATAGCACGACTGACTGCTTGACTCCCTCGAGGCCAGCCTTAAGTAACAGATGTCGAGGCTGTCCGACCTCGGTCCTCTTTCCTCATTCGTCCAGATTGACTCACATCTGAAGGCCCGGATGATGCAGTTGCAGACTTCTCCCTTGGACCTGATGCTATCCGGGTACCTGCATACAAACAAATGTGTGTCCTTGACCAGCGGCCTGGGCTAGGTACCTTTGGACTTTGACTGTTGGGTGGACCGACAGTTGACTGAAGTCAACTGTCACACGCCCAGGCCCTGAATTCGTGTAGGGCCTGAGGGCGGCCAGGTAGGCCCTCTGAGACCCTCAGTTTCCACGAGACATATGGCATGGGTTATTGCATCTGCAAGAAAAGCAAGAACATTGTTACAGACTTACAGACTTTTACAGTATCTTCGGCATGGTTCTGTACTTCTTAGGCAACAGCCAATTAACAGAAGTGGTGTGCTTCATTCCCACTAATCAGCAGGCTGAGTTCCTAGAGTCCTAGAACATTCAATTTGAGGGGTCACAAAAAACAGCTGACTCAAGCAAATTGGAGAGACTCTGCGGTGAAATGTTGGGTTGGCAAACCTTAGATAACCAGTGGAGTTGGAAAAAAAAAAAAAAAGGAAGGAAAGCTGCGATAAGGAGCAAACCTTCAAGTTTTTAGTTGGTTCTTACGTCTCTTTCGAGATGAATAAATAGAAAACTCGATATTAAGTAAATAAAATACAATCGATTATCTACCCAAAATGAAATAAAGTCCCAAAGACCTATGATGGTAATAAATATGGTTAACCCGATTAACATAACAAAAGCATAATGGTACACAAAGCCACTTTGATGGACAATTCAGGATAGCCCTGCCCTGTATAGGTTTTGGAGGCTGAGAGAGAACGGTTGGTTGTTATTCTGTTCATCTGACAGTATGTGGATTTGAACTTGGGTCTGCCATTCGGCCTAGCTGAGTTGGTAAGGCACGCAAGTGGCATTCAGGAGGTCTTGGGTTCAATCCCCATTAGCCTCATGTACATTCGCCTGGGCAAGCTTGGCGCCCGCCACCTAGAGATAGGCCGTTGGTCCCCCTGAATGGCATTGAGCAGAGACTACTGATGTCCATAAGGGGAGGGGACCGGAGGGGAGGCACAGCGACTGGCCCATCGAAGAAGCTTGGTCCTGATGCTACCGGCTGACCCCTGGCCGGTATCACCCACCCCACCTGCTGTAGCAGGAATCGCACCTGCTGTCGGTTGCAGCTCCCGCATGTTCCCTCGTTGGAGGCTTTAGCACGGATGTGGGTAGCAGGTATCGTGCCTGCTGTCTGTTGCAGCTCCCGCATGTTCCCTCGTTGGAGGCTTGAGCACGGATGTGGCTGCTACGGGTTTCCCCGTAATACTATAATGACAATAACAAGGGGCTGAAAGGCCGTCCTGTCCAGATTCGACAGGTAATTGAATTGGTTGGGCTTGTTTCGTTCTGACTGCTCCTTTGATCCGAGCTTTGGGGGATAGAGAATTTCAGTGTTCTTGTGTAGATTACATGCCACCAAGTTCAGACTATATCATCATCCCAAGCAGGGATGTCTGGTGTGTAGTCGTTGAGAGGCGCAGCGCATGTATCAACACATGACTTCCCTGATGATTTTCCGCACCGACGCATTCATTATCATTATTTTGCTTGCGTCACGCTTTAGCCGAAGCCGAGTAATGGCCCCGGTATCTCAAGGAGTTCTCCATAAATTTCTCATTTTCTCAATATGATCTTTTTTTTTTTTTTTTTTGGTGAAACTTCGTTAAACGGGAAACCTACTTAACAAGGTGATAAGAGCATCCCTGGTAAGTAGGTCCCGGTGTCGAAGGCTCCATCTATTGGTGGGGAGCTACACCTGCTGGAAATCGGGTCCAGCATCCCAGTACAATTATGAGAATGTATCTGCTGGAAATCAGGTCCAGCATCCCTGTACAGTGATGTGAATGTATCTGCTGGGAATCGGGCCCAGCACCCCTACGCAGATCCACGACAAGATGTGATGCATATGATGGCACAAATCTCTACCAGTGATGTAATATGTGTGATATGCTGTGTGTGAGCTGTTACAATGAGCTAATCTATCCAAATATTTCCAAAGTGAGCAGAGGCACTGATTACTTCCCTGCAGAGGCATTGACTACTTCCCTGCAGCAGGGAAGGATTGACCTCGTGCTCATGAATGGGACGCTGGGCCCGGTTCCCAGCATGTGCTGCTCCCCACGAATAGATTGGAGCATGTTCGCCCCCAAAAAAAGGGTTGGGCTTGAAAGA